TTGGCTCGTGGGGAATTAATTGCAAAAGGTAGGGTAAAAAGACGTTTAGGACAATCCCACAATTAATACAGTATTTGTCATGTATTTGTCAGACGTACATGTGACGTCATCATGGGTGTATTTTAGAGACCTATTTCTATTAAAACTCATAATTGTTTTGTGTTTTAAGGTAAGTATATGTTTTGTTTCAAAATTAGGTTGATTTTCAGGTTGCGACATTATTTTTTAAAAAAATCTTTGAGCCCATTGTTGTCTTTTTTTTTTTTTTTTTGGCTACATATTCATTCCATAACATTCATTTCATTAATACTTAATTCTACAAGCTAAAAGTCAGGACTCTCAAAGGAAGATCTTCTCAATCTGGCCTCATGCACACTTACATGATGGCAGGTCCCTTTCAAATTGTGGCGTCCAGAGGTACACACAGACTCCAAAATCTATCCAGCCCAGAGAACTATAGGATGATTACATCTTTGTGTCTAAACATTTAATGTGGTCTGGCTGTACTAAGTCTAAACATCCAACAGCCCATTATGCTAACAAAAATATTATTAGTTCGGTTTCCCTCTAAAGAGGTACACAGAAGTAAAATAAATTAAATCAGCATTTTTTTCCTTTCATTTACTCTGTACAATCTTTCATTTGAATCAGGCAAGTGGCCACTTACGTCACTAATAACAGCCACCACTGTACTGTGCATTTTTAGCTTGAAAATGGCAATAAATTCATCATTTTTCTCCAACATTGGGGAAAGACAAGGATGCTGATTTTTGGTGTTGGAATTTCTTCATTCTAATTTCACTCAACAAGCTGTTGCCGAACATCTACTATATACAAAGAACCAAGGCATATTCCTATGTTTGGTACATCTTTCATCTGCCGCCATAACCTTTTGGCTCAATCCACAGACCCCAGTTTTACTAGAATAAAGCACTGTCATTCTAATACCTTGTATATACGTTGTTTTTACATTTTCAAAGCACTTTTTCATATTTAATCCCTATATAATGCTCACATGGTTCTGTGTGGATGAGGGCACTCACCAACAAGACAAAGTGTCATTTAGGCACAAAATTGCAATAATCTGACATTTCTGACTTTGGCCAATTGGCCTGAGACTGTAGGGCCTGCTGTGGTTCCTATATGGATTCCACGGCTCCAGGTTTCTCTCAGGAGTCTTGCCTAGGTTTATTCTTTGGAAATCAGTGAGGAAAGGGATGCTTACCATCACAGCTGTGGGTATTTGCCTACTATTCTCCCATATTCGATAACATTTCTTGATATTCTATTTGGGTTAAGGCAGTGACTTGAGAAAAGTGACAAGTTTTGTGGCCAGACTTGAGTTGGACTCCTGGCTCTAACACTGTGAGAACTTGGGCGACTTAATCTGTCAGGACTTTGATTTCACCATCACTGAAATGAGGATGACCTCAAACTTACTTCAAAGGGCTGTGGTGAGATTAACACTGTGTGCTGTGCACGGAAAGCACCTGGTTTTCTAACGGAGCAGCCGCAGGAAAATGGCTGCTTCTTCCCAGCCCCACGCCCACTGCCCAGGGCCTTGGTGTTTGCCTGTGCAGGAGGGCGACTGCTCTGGTCTCACGGACATGATCTGGCCCAGGCAGTGTCTCACAACACCAGCCAAAGGTTGGCACTGTCCACACACATAGCGCATGTTCAGTAAATGTTCCTTTCCTGAGGTCAGGTCCTCATCAGCCTCCAGGTACGATGATCCCTACAATCAGGAGGGTCACAGCAGGTAGGAAGTGGCCCTGACCTGGAATCTCCTCCCAGCCCTCCTCACTTCTCTACCCCTCAGTTTCTTCAACCTTAAAATCAACTCAGTAGCCTCTCAGTTCCCTTCCGGCAACATCGTTTTCTGAATCAATTTGTGTTGTAATGCATGTCGTCTGGATTCTAAAGATAAAATTATTCCCACTGGCTGTGAAGATCAACCCATATCTTAAGAGTTTCATCGGTACAAGATATTGGGTAGTGCCCTGGGAAACAGAAGGGAAATGACTTCCATTTCAGACTCGACGCTGCTCCAAATGAACAGAGAGCAGAGTGCCAGCCTCCTCACTGCTTGCCCGTGGGGCTGCCTCGCACTTCTTCCAACTGTACAACAGTTACTTTTAAAATTCCTTGGGAGACAGGTACACTAAAAGCCCTGGCTTTATCACTGTACAATTTATCTATGTAAAAAAAACCAAAACAACAAAAAACCACTTGTATCTCTCAAATCTATTGAATAAAAAAATAAGTGAAAATTAAAAATAAAGAAAAGCAAGAGACACTTTTAAAAATAAATAAACAAATGGAATAAAATCCCTTTATATCTATTACAGTAGACTCACAACTTACATAGGGGTTGGATTTTAAGGTGAGAGCATAAAGCAGAAATCACCTTGAAAATCCCCCAAATCTCCCACAGTGTGAGGTATGTGTTGTTAGGGGTGTATCAGTCCTACATAGTATTTCTTGTGCATGATAACATTTAAGAGCAACAGAGCTAGAATGCAGGAAGGAATGGAAACAAAGGCCGTGTGCAGATGTCTGGGTGACTATCAGTTCCCAGGGGTGAAAGGGGAAGGGGAAAAGGACTCCAAGTGTCCCTGCTTCCCCTGCAGGGTTTACTCTGTTCTCATTTAATATTAAGCCTCTGTAACCACAATTCTTCTTAAGAGGTTTGGCTGAGGGTGATGGCTCATGCCTGTAATCCCAGTACTTTGGGAGGCCAAGGTGGGAGGATCACTTGAGGCCAGGAGTTCAAGACCAGCCTGGGCAGCATAGTAAGACCCTATCACTACAAAGAATAAGAAAAATTAGCTGGGTATGGTGGTACATCCCTGTAGTCCAGCTACTCGGGAGGCTGAGGTGAGTATTGCTTGAGCCCAGGAGTTCAAGGCTGCAGTGAGCTATGATTGTGCCACTGTGCTCCAGCCTGGGTGACAGAGTGAGACCCTGTTTCTTTAAAAAAAAAAGAGAGAGTGAGAGAAACTTGTTTGTTGCTGTGAAGTTAAACATGAATGCATTCAGCATACACCCTGAGCACATTATAGGTGCTCACTAAAAGTTTGCTGAATTTAAATTCAGAACACTGCTGTTCTGAAGAGTCACAGAGAGGAATTTGGCCACCTGCTGCCTGACTTCCTAATTCAGAATTTCCTATTGGACTGTCAGCTCTGATGCTGTGAGGTACTGGCCACGTGTCACGCTGGGAGAGGTGGGAAAGAGGTGAGAATGTGTCAGGGTCTGACATGGCCATGTGGCTCTATTGCATTTCCTTATGGTCCAGGATCTGGACGCAGACGCCCCGGCAGCAGAGGTCTGGACAGCAGTGATGGCGAAACAACTACCTTACCTAGAAGGGCCAGGATTAAAAGACAAAGTGAGGTCTGAAATGCTCGACCACCCACAGAAGCACACAGAAGCTCTTACGTTGCTGATGTACTCAAGAGGGGTAAGACTAAAGGCGGGCAGGTCGTCCGTGAGGGTTTCTCCAATGCCGGCCGTGTTCCAGCTCTAGGGGAGGAAGGAGAGGAGCAATCAACACCCTAGCAACCAGGCAGCCAGGCAAGCACCCTGTGAAAATACACGAAGGATGGGGCCTTCCCCACAGGCAGTGCTTTGGTCGGAGCTGACCTTTGGGACTACCACCCCTCAGCAGGCCGGGGACTTCTCTAATTCTTTATCTTGAAGCCCACCATAGAGAAAGTCATGGTTTCTCTCTCTCTGCGTTCCTGCAGATCTACAAAACAGGAACTGCCACCTTCTCAGCTGAACTTTGGGGTGGAAACCAATCCCTTTGTTCATCTCGCTGAGAATGTGATCGGAGACAGTCAGATATTTTCCTGTCTGAGTTTCTCTACGTGGTGGGGCCACCAAGTAAGAAGGTGCTGGACACAGGCAGCCTCACTAATTCTTGGGCCTTTAGCACTCTGAAGAGAACAGGGGTCCCCCTGGTCTTCCAGAGACCTCATGTCAATCCTTTATCCTGGGATGGAGCCTCTAGACCCCCACAGCTGCTCCTTTGTCCTCCTTGTGATCCCTCTGTCTGAGGAGAACCTCAGCACCAACACGTGTTTCTTGACATTTAAAGTGGAAAAGTGTTCAGTATTGCTGTACAGAGTCAGGTAAATTACCTGCATGCATGTGCTTACAGTCTTGAGTGTGGCACACCTTCACACAGAAATCTAGTTTCTTAATTCCAACCTGAGCCACCCTAAACCCAGCTTGGCAAAACAAGGCCCTTTCTGGCTGAACTCTGGGAGTGACTCCTGAGGTCGTGCTGTAGCTGCTGTCTGCAGCCACCTGATGCCCGATCCGGTTGCCTGATCCTTTAAGTAGCATTCCGGGAATGGAATGACCATGTCCACCCCTGGGCTTCCTGCCCAGCTAAGTCTCAGCAGGCCTCTCCACGCTCTCTAGCACCGACTCCATTCAGTCTCATGCTATAGATGAGTTTTCTTCCCCCAACCCCACCGCCCTGCCCCTACAGCTTTCTAGACTCTTTGTTCTTGACCCCCATAGAAGCACAAAGAGCTTGAGAATTCTCTTTCACTTTAAAATATCCTACTTTTTCTCCAGCTAACTCCCAACATACTGAGAAGGAATACGCTGACCATCCATATTTACCAAGTACCACAACATACAGTGTTTCATGCTAGGCTTTGTAGAGAAGATTCAAAGAAATGTAAGACGTGGCCCTTGCTCTCCAGAAGCTACTTGGGGAAGCAAGACCCTCTGGCATACTCCCACTCTGCATAGCCCCACACTTTCCATCCTGCTCTCTCCCCTCCCTTCTTCCTCCAATGCACACATGGAGGCCCAGCGTTCCACTTCTAGAGTTCTGTGTCAGATGCAAGGTTTTATACAATAAGAGTTTAGAGGAGCAAGCGCTCAGAGTGATTAGAGAGGGGTGGCCACAGGATGTACGTGGTGCACAGAGGCAGAAATAAGGCTGGAGGGAGAATGCATAGCTCCGAACTCCAAGCTAAGCAAAGGCTTTACCTTCAACAAATAAATTGCAAGGGGAAAAAAAAGAGAGAGATGAATGGGAAATCTATAGTTCAAAAAAGACATGTCCCAATAAATCCTGGATCCTGATTTAAACTGTTAAAATAAACTATGACATTTATAAAACAACTGGAAATTTGAACACTGATTGATGATATTAAGGAATTATTTTTCTTTTACTTTTTTAGGGATGATTATGGTATCATGATTATTTTTAGAGTCCTTATATTTTAGATAAGGGAGTATATATGAAATAGGATGGCCAGGACTTGGTAATCATTGAAGCAGGGTGATGAGCATAGAGTTCTTTGTACTCTTCTTTCTACTTTTGCATATGTTTGAAAATGTCTGTAAGAAAGTTTTAAAAACAGACTATCAGACTAGCCCTGGGGAGCCAGGGGAGGGTTGTGAATGGAGAGGGACAAAATGAGAGTGATGCTTTATGAAGATGAGTGTAGTGGCCCTGAGGAGGACTCAGGGCATGGGAGAGGTGGATGAAAAGCTCAAAAACAGATCAGAGCTGATGAGAACCTGAACTAGGGTGGTGGCCATGGAAACAGGTGGGAGACACACAGAAAAGGGAGAAATGAGAACCCCTGGTGGTTTGTGGGCAAAGAGGGGCACAGCAGGGGGCCGAGGTGGCGGGAGGCAGGAAAGCGAGGTGGTGGGAAGAGCAGTGGCTCCCAGGAGACCAGGAGCAAGGACTGATACATGGAGCAAAGACCAGTGTCACTGCAATCCATCTGAGGACAAGCACCGTGGACCGGAGGCCCTGGGAAAGGCTTCGGAGAGGAGGTGGGGGAGCGATGTCAGAATATGATCATGGAAAAGAAGTTTAGAAGAGGGGCGAGACACAGAAGCTTGAATGAGGAGGGGCTTAAGAAGCAGGCCGAGGGCTGGGCGCGGTGGCTCACGCCTGTAATCCTAGCATTCTGGGAGGCCAAGAAGGAAGGCTCACTTGAGGTCAGGAGTTCAAGACCAGCCTGAGCAAGAGCAAGACCCCATCTCTACTAAAAATAGAAAAAATTAGCCGGGCATGGTGGCGCATGCCTGTAGTCCCAGCTACTTGGGAGGCTGAGGCAGGAGGATCGCTTGAGTCCAGGAGTTTGAGGTTGCAGTGAGCTATGATGATGCCACTGCACTCTATCTGGGGTGACTAAGTGAGACTCTGTCTCGAAAAAAAAAAAAAAGAAGCAGGCAGAGGAGTGCACTTGAAGAAGGCAATAGGGAAATCCTGTAGATTATTTTTTAATTCAAAATTTACTTACAATGTCCTTCATCTGTCACCAGGTAAAATAGGTAAACTTCAATAATCTATTCTGAAATTGAATACAGTGTTGGTTTATAGGCTTGTAATATAAAAGAGCAAGACAATTTACCAGCCAATGTTGAAAACAAACATTTAATGACCAGGGTTTAATTTTCAAATCCTTAAGGCCAGAGTGTTTGCCTTTGCCTTGTGTGCTGCAGCCTCGGAGAAGCTTCCTAATCTCCAGAGCCGCCCATGTCCATTCCCAAGGGCCTGCAGTACTGTGGTAAAGCCCGAGTGAGAAGGTGAGAGCCGAGTGACCAAACCCGAATCATAATAATGAACTCTGGAATGCAGAAGTAGAGGAAAGAGGACAGGTGGGAAGCACTCAGCCTGTTTAAATGCAGAGCTAAGACTAAATAACTGGGAGAGGCAAGGTTTCAGAACAGAAGGGCAGTATCTTAAGTTTTGATGAAATAAAAATAATACAGCAATCAAATCTGGAGTTGGGGAGGGGAGATGAGAGGTATGAGGAATGCTAATCCTCTCACCTTCCAGAGCAGGTGAATCAGTATCAATCTCTCTAAAAGGGAAACGTGATTAACAAAAGGCAACGACTCCAATATGACTCCAATCTCTTAACAGTTTTCATAATCTCTCCTTCTTAACCTTGGAGAGATCTGGGAACTAATGTCTTCTGAGAAGAAGAAACAATTACCTCGAATTCAACAATTCCTTTCGTTTCATTTAGTTTCCCTTTTTCCAGTTAATTTCAAATATAATTATATTGTACACATTTAAAAAAAAATAGCATGTGTAGTATAATCCCACTCCTTCCTATGGATCTGTCTGTCTATAGATGCCCATTCAGCCTTGAACAGGTCTATGAGTGGGAATGAAGAGATGTCTGGATTGCTGGACACCAAATGCTTACGCTGATTATTTCTAGATGGTGGGATCTTGAAGGGATTCATTATATTTTTTCCTTGTACTTTCCTGTCTTGCTTGAGTTTCTGGAAACAAATATATAATTTTTATTTTTAAAAAACCAAGTAAGTCATGCCTCTTAAAAAATGAGAATCACAGAAAGGAAGAAAACTACTGCTTATTAAGCATTCGCCCTATGGCCAGTGCTATGCTAAATTTTATCACATAAAAAATCACATTTAGTCCTCACCAACATATATGATGAGAATTATTGTATCCCCATCATAAAGATGAGAAAACAGAGGCTCACAGAGGAATGAATGACCTCAGTCATGCAACGCACCGAGATTGTGTATGGGTGGGGCCCAGGACTCACTACTTCCCATGGCACAGCTGTGGTTCATCCACATCATTTCTACTTCAGTTTTACCCTCCCCCTCCATGCTAAAAATGCAAAATCTGATTGGAGCAGATCTCATGGCATTTTGCACGGAGAAATCATAAATAGTGAAAATCACAGAATGTCAGGGATAGAAAGAACCTCAAAATCATGTAGTTAAACAGAATCATTTTATGGGTGGAAATCCTGAGACCCAGAGAGGGGATGAGACCTGACCAATGCCATGCAGCGGCCCTGGACTTCCAGCCTTTGGACTTCTAGCCTCGCAGGCTTTCTAGAGGGTAGCAGAAAGCAAAGAACTTGTAATTATGCCATACGAGTTCCTGTTGTTTCCTAAAAGGATCTCTGGTTATTAAAGGTCCATAACTGGGATCCACATGGACTTGAGCAGTCAGTAAGCGCTGTCCCACCCGGTAATCCAAAAGGCAGGTGGCAAGATGTGAACCAGGGGAAAGACAGCAAGTAGAGAAAATATGACTGAGAGGCAACACCTTGAAAAAGAAATCAAGACAAGCAGCAGAGAAGAGAAGAGGGTGCAAGGCAAGGAAGGTGAGATGACTCCAGAAACAGGCACATAGAAAAGTATCAAGGAAAGAAAGTAGCAGAACCCTCTAAAGCCTCCTCAAAAACGAAGATTAATTCTGATAAGGTGCTCTCCTAAGTTCCAGAATCAAGTCTCCAGAAACGTTTCATGTGGCATGAAAACAATTCAATCTCCAAAGACAATTAGCACTTCTGACCTGGTCTAACCTACGCAGCAGCACATATTATCTCCCTGACTTCTCCCTGAGAAGGCTGAGCTATGTTCCAAATGGGGAAAGTTAATCGACCAATTTTAATAATCCTAAGAAACAGCCTATAAATAAAGTATCAAAGTAACGACAATTAAGATAAGAAATTCATGCTAAGCAATGAGTTGACTCTTTCTGGCCCAGGAGAGTTAAAGTTGGATCTCTTGGGGCAGGGGGGGTTAAGCCTACACTCAATATGCTTGAGCAGAAGGCAGGACCCAGGGTGGAAATCACTGCGGTCAGTGGGAAACTCACGTCCATCTTGGAAATGAGTAACAGCTGCTGTCTGATGCGCAGGAACACGGAATCGAAGGCCAGCTGGTGCGCCTGCTGGTTAAGCCGAGTCAGGGCTGCCCGAGGCGAAGACAGCAGGTTGTGATTACTTGACCCTTTTTCCTGAGACAAGAAAATGCAAAAGGCAGTTTGTTAGGCCCTAAATCCAACCAAGGTATTAGCTAGTTAAACATTTTGAAAAATCACTAAGAAAAAAATAGTGAGGGGGATTCTATGCAATAGGGGTTCCCAAACCTGACTGTACCCCCAGGGGAAACGTGCTGAATTACAGATTCACAAGCTCCACCCCAGAACTACTAAATCTGAGTCCATCGGGGTTGGAACCCAGGAATCAACATTTTTAACTCACTTTCCCAGGTGATGCTGATGCATTTAAGCTAACATGAGCTCATGGATTGGCAGTCTAGGAAAAATTAACCTGTGACCATCCCTCAGGGACAGAGGAGGAGGGGGAAAAAGATCAGAAGCTTCAGGTATAAACAAAAGAATGGTGATTCCCAGGGAGGTCAGGTCAGTTATACTTGACTGAAAGCCGGAGTACGTACAACCTATGTGAGTCCCAAGGAATTTCAAACAGCCTGAGAAAATACAGAGATGGAAAATGTAACCTTAGTTTTGCTATTATAAATGAACTGATTACAACAGACATAAATCAGATTAGCAATAAAGATAAACAGAGTTGCTTTAACTTAATCACAGAAGCACAGATGAATGAGTTTACAGAATTGCTGTAAGGAGTGTGTTGGTCAAGCTCAGTGCAGCCAGTTGGTGGGTCAGGGTGCAGAGAGAAGGGGAGACCTGGGAGGGTAACACTGAAACCTCAAACATGTCCAGACACCCTGTGTGGTTCACTCCCAGAGCTCTAGGCCCTAGATAATTTGAGATTGCATTTGCTGCTGCTGGAATAGCATTGTCTCCTCTGCCTATCACCAACAGAGTGAGTTCAAGCCAAATAAGGAAGGAAGCGAGATGGTTCTAGAAAGGATGCCCATGGCTTTCTTACAACCCTGGAGGTCATTCCCAAGGAGCTGTGCGGCTTATCCCATTTGTTGGGAAGTTTTCCTGTCCCTGGACCCCAAGGGGCCCAAAGCTCAAAGTCAAACTAAGACAAACCAAGAGTTGAAAGAAAAAAATCAAGAGGAAACACCTATCCCCAAGTTCTCGTGTTTCCATGGGGAGGAACTTGCACTAGAGCAGGCTCCTGGGGACTCCCCACCCCTGGTTCCTCCCTTGGAGAAGAGGAGTGCCTTCTCTGACTACTGAGTTGGGGTCCTCTTTTATGGGTTCTGCTTGCCAGCAAGCAGTACGCATCTGGTTCCCTCTCTGCCACTGAACAAAAGGGAGCTAACCCCGCATGGGGTCCAGGGGCTGTCCAGCTCTGCCCATCCGGTTGACAAGTTTAACTCTGGAGTGACGTACAGCAAGCCCCTCTGGCCGTAGATCTAAAGTCACATTCTCTAAACTGGCTTTTATCAGTAGTAAAGATCCATCTATCCCACTCCTACATCCATGTCTCAGTGGGTTTCAACCTGGTTTAGTTTATTAGCTCCTTAAAACCCCAACATAAATGACACAGAGAAGTGGCCACAGGTCATGCCACAGCCCAGGGCCCACATACAAAGCCAGAAAGTCTGGGTCCCGGAGAGGAGAGGGTAGGTGACAAGGGGAAAGCTTTCATTTGCAAGAATGCCATCAGTCTGGTCTCATACCTTGAGGGTATAAAGTATTTCCATTAACTTGGCATATTCAGCAGGGTTATCTTTCTGGAGGTAATTATATTCTTGCCATGGGTTCTTGGCAGAGCTCTTTTTGTCTGTCAAGATACTATCCTGAAAACTGGCCAGGCTCCAAGGGCCGCAGGGGTCAGGCAGATACTTCCCAGCTGTGGACAAAATCCTGTAATGAAAGTGACGACCATTATGCCCCGAGCTATTTGTATGGAACTGTCTTCTTGGAGCAGTTAGATTGCTCCTTACTAAATTCCAGGATATCCTCATGAGGCAGATTGAATTAAGGTCCAGTTTGTAAGGAAATGAAGACATCCTTCATCCTTTAGGGGTGAGCTGGACCTCAGGTGCACAATAAAAAGCATGTGTAAAAACTACTTAACACTCATGCCACCAGAATATGTCATCCCCCTAATATGACAGAGAGCCTACACAGGGCAGTTCTCAGTTGACTACAATCTGGAACACTGTGCGCTTTCTATGTAGACCTTTCTTACTATATGAGCAGTACGGTGTGGGACAGTCAAATGCCATAGTGAACCACCAGCACCACCATCACAGAGACCGCTGGGCAGGGTGGCAGGCTGGCTGGTCCCTGGAGAACAGTGACATCAGCTCTGTACCCACGGGACTCACCTGTCCCACATGCTGACCTTGTGTGCTGTTTGTGCTCATCACCACTGTGAAGTTTACTTTTGTGGTTTAGGTGCTAAAGAGGGCTCAATTGAGAAGCTAGTAGTTTCCAGTTTCTTCCAAGGAAAAATAAAATGCCTAGAGGAGGTTCTATTGATCATCAATCTCTAGCACTGCTGGGGAAGGTGAAGCTCCACCTCTAAAAAGAATGGTCTTCCCTTGATGCTGAAAATCCTCTACTCTGTTTTTCCTTAGCCCAACTTTACCATTCATCCACATACTTCAATGTGTCCAGAATTATACGAACAGAACAGATGTAACCAGGAGAAAAGTAATATATCCCAGTGGGGCTAATCCCCTGATGACTCCTTTACTGTAATTTCTCATGAAAAAATTACTTTGGACATGGCAGTTTTTAGGTCGCACCCAATTTTTTCAAAAACAGATCCCCTGAGTTTGTTGAGGAATGCCTGTACTTGCAAATAAATCCTGGGGATAAGACCTTCAGGAACCATTGCCAACACAAACGGCTCCCTGGCTCTGCTATTAAGGTCTAGTTTTTCCTGTTGCTTGAGCCTACCAGTAATTTTGATTGGGCCTGTCGTCTGCCAAGCTGTAACCAGTCCCTGCCACTGCCTGACTTCCTTCTGGTCTTCACTAGTTCTTGTCTGGAGGGCAGCAGCCTCCCAGCTGGAGCTTCCCTTCCTCTAGTCCTGCCATGTTCCACTTAATGTGTCCTCCTAAAGGTTAGTAGAATGATCTTTCCAAAAGGCAAATCTGATTTTGTCTTTTTCTGGAAGATACCTCAGTTCCCTAGAATAAAACTAAGAACGCCTAGACATGGCACCCAGGTCCCTCTATGGCTGAAGCCCTCAAATCCTTACAAACGTCCCTACTACTCATCCAACTGCCCACCAACCTCACTCCACACACCAGGCTTTCCACACTTGCATGTCTTGCTCACATGCTCCCTCTCTCTGAAATGCTCTCCCCTCCCCTGTGGCCGGGGGAAATCCTCCTTCTTCCAAGACTGGTCCCCAAGGCTTCCCCTCTGCCAAGCCTTTCCTGATGCCACTAGGCACTCAGTCCTCTGCTCCCATCAGCCTCTTGCCTCTGCTATGCATTTATCACGTGCTGTCTCATTTCTCTCCCACTAGACGGTGAGGATAAAACAGAGTGTTCTTTGCCTCTGAATTCCTAGCACCTAGCACAGTACCAGGCACAAGGCAGGTGGCTCAATAACCGCTGAATGACAGATGACCTGGGTTTGCCCTCTGGGGAGTCAGCTCTTCTTTGCAGGTTTACTGCAATATGTGTTTCAGTCTCAGGCAGCTTGGAGGAAACTGACCTCACTGTACCCACCTGCCATCCAAGGTGAAGAAAACTAGATACATTGGAAATGTTTTCAGTAGTAAAGCATGTAGTTCAAAATGTCAGAATAAATACAAACAACTCCAACCCCAAGGTACTAATGGCATCTAGACGGTGTGGTCATTAGCATCTGATCTCCTATTACAGTATTTGCATTTACTAGTCCTGTGAACTAAACCTTACTGAAATGAATACTTGATTTCTTCATTCATCAAAGAAATGTTTTCTCATCACTTGGGGATATCAAGCAATTAAACACAGTCCTTGCCCTGGAGAAGCTCAGAGATTAATAGGGAAGTCCAACATGCACCAGCATGCTTGTTGCTGTGCCAGGACCATGCACTAAGTGTGCACAGAGGAAGGAGCATTACAATTCCCCCTATTTTCTCAATTTATTTCCTTTTCATGCCAGGCTGACTCCTCAGCCATGGAAACGTGAGAATTTATCTTGGATTCACAAAACTGACTGTCTCATGAAACTGTCCCACCAAGACCTTATCCTGGTGAAAATACCGCTGTTCCTAAAGTAAACAGTGGGTACTAGGAAAGTACAGAGTAGCCACAGCAATCTCCCTACATTTTGCCCAAGTTGCCCAGGACAAGAGAAATCTCTCAGGTGAGATTTCAACCCAGCCCTCCTTTACTCAGCCCATAAATCGCAAAATGATCCCTTTCTACAAAGAGGTAATCTTAAGAGCACAGTAGCCAATGTCGATCTTGTCGCTGAAGCAGTGTAGAGTGTTCTGAGCTATTGCTTCTGCTGCCCACCAGCTGGTGGGGAGTGGTCCTTGGTTGGAGTCTGGGTTCTGCAGGTGAGATTGATGGAGAGATAAGATAAGCTTTACAGGCAGCTGCCACACATGTGCTATACAGCCTCCAGGACAACACAGATGGCAACTTTCCCTTTCCTGGCCCAGCACTTCCAGGATGACATCATCTCTTTCAAAGGCTCCCTTGAAGACACCCAGGCTGCTCTTGTCTCACACCAAAGCTCGGCCACGTTTTTGGCCTCTCTAGGCTGCAAAATGCAGTTCCGGAGGTTCATCCTTTATTTATCATGTCCCCATTCATCCTCCTAACCAGATCCTTCCTTACCCTTTGGAGTGTAATATTTGCCTTCATTAAAAGATTAGGGAAGATGTGTGTGTCCTGTTATGGAAAGGCATCTGATATACACAGAGAGAAACACAAGTCTACGGGCAGACACTGATCCGTGAGAAAGGGCAGTATGGGGGTGGCTCACACTCCAATGACTCAGGGATGTCAAAGTTCAAATCACTGCCTCTCAGACACAGCTTTTCCATAAATGATTTCTTTTTACCTAAAAAGCTATTACCTATGCCAAAGTCTACGCCTCAATGTTGCCCTATCTGTAGAACAGGGATAAGAAGAGTACCTACCTCTTCAGCCACTGGGAGGATTAATGAGTTAATTCACATAAAGTCCTTAATGTCAGTGCTTAATAAATGCTAAAGAGTCGGGGAGGGGGAAACTATTAATGTTTTTTTCTGGAAAGAAGGATTTTTAGAGTGAGTAGATTTTTAGTTTTTATTTTGTATACTTGTGAACTGTTTTGATTTTTTTGCAATGAACAACTACTGTAATTAAGAAAATAATAAGCTACCCGTATTTCTTTTAAATACCTAAGTGCTAAATTTTCACCTCTTCTTGGGAGTCCCCTGTGACTAACCGGGACCTCCTCACCCCTCCACCACATGCTCCTCTCACTGCATGCACCTGCTAGGGAGTGTGCTGTTCACTTCATCTATATTATTTACACACATTCCACTGGATGCCTGTGGTGCTTTGGTTTTATTCACTCCATAAAGTCACAGAATTTCTGTGCTGGGTGTTTGGGAGTTAGGAACAGCAACAGCTGCACCGATTCTACCCTGCCGCAATAATTTCCCCACAGTAAGAACCATCACAAAAGACCATGGACTTGAAGACAGTCCACGGTCTCGGAAATGAAGGAAGACAGAGTCATGAGATGAAGAAAGAGCCAACAGCGTGCAGAATCCGAGGCTAGTCTGACCTTCCTCGGCAACTCGTTCCCACCTCCCACCCAGCCCACTCACCCCCACCTCCCACCCGGCCCCACTCACCCCCACCTTCCACCCAGTTCCCATTGGGCCTCAGCTTTCATCTCACTTTGTACCACTCCCCAAAATTCCATTGCCCACAGATTACATTAGGGCAATAAAGAATCATCCTGGAAGGAGGTTAAGGGACTGCTGGTCCAACAAACGACTGTAAGAAACAGACTTCTTCCCTTTAACTCCTAAAGAACAGAGACAGCTGTACCAAGAGAAAGTGAGATTTACCTGAAAGAAAGAAGGAAATTTGGGAAGCTAGAGCCCTTTGAGGGGAAAAACAGTCTGATGGGGATGCTTCAAGGCAACGTAAAAGCCCTGGAAGGTATTGGAAGAGAGGAAGAGGGTAGAACAAACTTTTCTAGGGCAGACCCCAGAAATTCCCCTTTGATACATGGCCCTTCGGCAGCACAGAATTCTGCTGCAGAACCCAGAAGACAGGCTGTCTGCGTTAATCCTCATTCTGCGGGCTGGCTCCAGGGACTTAACCACCACCTGTAACACTGTTTCTATGGGGAAATTTATTTTGAGTCCCAACAATTGACTTACAAACAAGCAGTCGGAACCCAGCCCATTCATAATTTGGAGACAACATGTACTATTTCCTCATTAAGGCTGAAACCACCATATCTAACCAAAATCATGTGACCACTGCCAAGCAAGACAGAGGCTTGCCCTGTTTAGGTGCTCAATAAATGTTTAATGATGACAATAATGACACCTCGTATCTGGGTACAGTCAGTCCTGAGTCCTGCCGCTTTCAGATTTGACCATATGTTGTTCTTGCTATACTATGTTCTAGACCAAGCTCCTCCCAACCAGGAACCCCAGGAACCAGACAACAATGACATCTCTCTCCTACCTGTTTGCTAGCTGCTGCTCAAAGTCCCCACACTGCCGCAAGAGCTCTCCACAGGTGGCTATTATCCTAAACAAAACAAAAAGCACTTCAAGTATTTCAAATGCTGGACAAACATTGTTCTCATTCATAAAAATTCTAACTATTCATTCCTTTTGGTGGTGCTGGGCTCTGGGAAAACAGTTAACCATCTGATGGCCAAACTGAAATGTTTCATTAATTAGTAATTAATGTAACAGGTAAATGCTGGTCCCCTCTAATAATCTCCAAGTCACTGGCCTCTCTGCTATGAATCACAATTCTATCCATCACCACCTCAAATAGTTGACATTTCCAAAATACTGTGCTTTGTTCTTGAGAAAATGGAGTAGAAATACTTTTTATTTAAATTTGAAAATCGAAATGTATTACTTAATATTTGTTAGATGTCTGCTATTTGCAAGACACAGAAAACTGTTTTGATACTAGAAGTCTCTCTCTCTCTCTGATCACATGAAAGGCAGATAAAGATTAATCCATTTGTTTCTCAGAGGTAAGCCTGAACGATCATCATATCTGCATTCAGTGATCCTTTAATTTTCAAGTAATTTTATGCCAGGCCCCAAGCTCCAGCCACGGAGTCCTTCAACACCAAACTCATAATGTCTGGACAAATCCAAGGATTAAAAACATCTTAAGTCTAGTTAACTTTTAACTTTCTCTAAAGGTGCCTATCATCACCAGGGTATCTAGGCATTCCATCATAAGAAAGGTTTATGAGAAAGTAAAATATTCCACTCCCCTCAGGTGCCACAGAACAAACCTGTACATAATATTTTCCAGTGTAACACATATTATAAGGGATGCAGTTAGTATCTAGAGCATTAAATTTCATCAAAAAAAGAAAAGTCCAGAACACACCCCATGAGGCAATAATCCAAAATGATCCTGGATCTACCCTGACAGCCCTTGGCGGGGTGTCTGGATCCGCTCCAGCATGGGCCACCACTGAGGACTACATGTGTCGTGGGCACTCTGCACATATCACCTAGGCTGGGGGTCAGGTAAGACATGTAAGCGGGTGACGTGGGCAAGGTGAAGAGCAGCTTCTCTCTTTGGAATGTATATCCATGAAGAATGGTTTTAAGGAAAGGAAACTTCTAGCTTGCTTTTTATCTCAGCCTAACCCTGTAGTTGTGAGACCATGTGGGAGAGGGGAGAACCACAGCACAACAGAAAACACATGCCCTAGTCTCAGCTGAGCAAGACCCAGCTGCCAGCCCCAGGGGATGACGGTGACAATGCAGGCCCAGTACTGCCAGAGCTCCTAATTTTGCAAGTGACATTAGAATTCTGGATCATGTTAAATCTAGTTTTTAAATGGTGGTAACTAATCTAATTTTTTAAAAACTGCTATGATCAAACAAAACATGTCCAAAGGTTAGATCTGGCCACAGGCCAGCAGACTGCACTTTTGGGCTAGACATGTCAAAGGCCAAACCTTCTCAGCCACTGCTGATCATACTCCCACCAGGCCTTAGGGCTTAGGCCAACAGTGTGTCTACCTAGTGGCCCACAGGTCACACGAGCTATCCCAGAATCTGGCCACCAACAACCACTTGAGAGGTCACTTCAGTGCCTTTCACTGAACTCTTATACGGCCCTTTCTAGGCCAAATAACATTGCTTTACCATTTACTACCATGGTTCTTAGATCCAGAAACAGGATCCAATCAGCTGTGCATTTTCTAAAATATAAGCTTTAAGTTATTTTAGGTCTATAAAAGCTATAGGCTAAGGGGGAAAAAAATCTTCCACCAAATATTAAAAAATGTGAATCATTAAAGGAGATGAGGCATTGATAAAAAACTTTTTAAAAATATTTTAAGAGCTAGAGGGGTCTTTTTCTTGGTTGGGTTTTTGTTTATTGGCTTTTTTTTTTTTTTTTTAGAGTCTAGAGTATTTATTTGCTTTTAAAAAGGCAGTGAAAGAAAAAAAAATAAACCCCTTGCAAACACATTTATCATTTTTATATACTAGATGATGCACGTTTATTCTTATTACATTAGGCACAAGCTTAAATTACAACCCCCACTTTACCTAATGGAGTTCTGAAAAGCCGTCCAATCTTCTTGAAAAAGGGAATTGGGAGGAATGTCGTCAAGTCTGCATTTCTTTCGTATTGACTGGAGAGTATTGGTGAAATCAGACACATACCTACAGGGAGAGGGAAAACATGACAAGGGCGTCATCATCAACTCCCCAACTCTAAAGATACCTGGAATTCTACAGCTCTAGACAAATTGCTAATGACCTTGAGAACATCTTTAGAGGCTCCCACCGAGGGGTGAGACTACCTATGAGTCTCTGACCACAAAAAAGTCTTCTCTATGTGGCAAGATCACCTTTATCACCTGGCGGAGCAGCTTCAAGAGAGATGCTAAAGGGGAAGGGAGCACGAAAGTAGACTGCAAGCCAGAAGACCCTCCCTCACAGACTGCTATTTGCTCTGGCTGTACACACGTACTTTTCCTTCATAGCACCTCACACACTGTAACTAAATAACTTGCTTAATGTTTATTGCTATTGCTAGACTTTAAGCATTGCGGGAACAGGGATTGTCCTCTGTAGCTCATAATTACATTCCCAGGAACTAGCATAGAGCTAGGCATAAAGGAGACACCTGGAAATAGCTCCTGAATGAATGAAAGACTTGCACTGCAGCCTTGGGCAAGGACCTCAGTGTCTCTGGGCCTTTAAAACAGACTTAATAATGTCTCTGTATTGCCTCACCGAGTAGTTGTGATGATAAAATTAAACAAATAAAGTACACCAAAGTTCTCTGAAAAGCAGATAATGAAAGCTGCTGTGGGGTGGTTTTGTTTCTAAGGGCGTAGAGTTCTTGGAACATGAACAAATAAATGTGTGTCCCTGGGAGGGAGGGTGAGGAGGATGAAGGGTGGAGTCATGTCCTCTGGAAGCCAAGGAACCTGTGACATCGGTGTGTAGCACAAGAAGCCCTGCCTCTCTCCCTTCCCAAACCAAAGCTCCAGGTGAAGAAAATGGAACATGATGGCCCAGAGCACAGCCCTGAAAAGTCAGTCTGTATAGTGGAAAGAAAGGCCATGCAAAGAACCAGGTGGAAGAAACTGCTTCAGACCACTCCACTAACTGCAAATGACGTTGCTGCTCCTTTTCAAAGACGTTCCATCTTTAAAGCAGAAAGCTGCAGAAACCAAAATCCCACGGGCAGCATCTTGCCTTTGCACCAAGACAGGGGACAGCTTTCTAGGGTTATTAGTCCTTAAAGGGAAGAGGGATGGGCCTCAAGGACAAATTGACAGGGGAATGTTAAGGGACATAATTGTGCTTTACCTGTGGGAGGTGAAACAACTGTTACCACTCTGCAACTATGACAAATATGTGTAAGAAGAATAGGGCCAATCCACACCCTCTGCTAAGCTTTGACAGAGCCCCCACGGTGAGCAGCAGCAGCACATTTGGGGAGGGGGAGTTTTGTTGAGCAACAGGCACAGCTATATGCAAATGCTTTTTATAGTTCTCTGTCCCTCAGTCCAGAATTCTAAATGGGTTTATTATGAAATCTCAGAAGGAAGTGTAGCTTTTCTCACACCATTTTTGTCCTCAAACCCTCCAATTGTCTCTCACAATACACGTTTTCAAGTGAGAGTCGCTGTGTTAGGGGCTTTCATGACATGCTTTCGGTTAATACTCACAACCTCTATGGAAAGGAGATATTATTATCATCAATTTACTCAGAGAAAAGATGACATCAGGACTCAAAGAGGAACCCTGACCTGCCCAAGGTCTCAGCTAATAAGTTGGCCAGGATCTAAGCCCAGGCTGGTCCAACTCCAGAGCCCACGCACCCATCACGGCCTTCACACCCCTCCTTCTTGAACCACCTTGTTGGCTGCTGTTTTCTATGTTGCACCCGAATTCAAGGTAGGGCAGTCTACTCCTGCCTCCCCTGCGTGCCCCATCCTCTCCATCCCTGCCACTCTGATGCCCTTCCCCAACTCCTCCTCACCACTGAACAATGTCCCATTTGAACCCTGCTCAAGTTAACTTCGACCTAATTTCCTTGACTAATTTTATCAACATTAGCTATTTTGGTAATGTCAAAATCTTCCCTTCCAGAGAAAGTGGCCTGGTTTCACCAGGTAGCCTTTTGTACAGTTTGAATGTTTAATACAGATATGTATTATTTTCAAAAACAAAATAATCAAAATAACCAACAGAAGAACTAAAAATAAAACTATTTAATACAGGCCGGGCGTGGTGGCTCATGCCTGTAATCCTAGCACTCCGGGAGGCCGACGCGGGCGGATTGTTTGAGCTCAGGAGTTTGAAACCAGCCTGAGCAAGAGCGAGACCCCGTCTCTACCAAAAATAGAAAGAAATTAATCAGACAATTAAAAATATATAGAAAAAATTAGCTGGGCATGGTGGCGCATGCCTGTAGTCCCAGCTGCTCGGGAGGCTGAGGCAGAAGGATTGCTTGAGCCCAGGAGTTTGAGGTTGCTGTGAGCTAGGCTGACACCACGGCACTCTAGCCCGGGCAACAGAGTGAGACTCTGTCTCAAAAAAAAAAAAAACAAAAAAAACTATTTAATATAATGAGCTCAGAGAAGCAGGGGGGAAGTGAGGAGTAGCCCTTACTTTCGAAAGCTTAAGTCCTCACTTCTCATAGTGAAAACTCAAGAGATGATATTTAAAGTTAATAAACAAAAAAATCTTTAAAGTTTAGAGGGAAGAATTAGAAGACTAAAAGCAAAATGTTGAAAACTTTTTACTTCTGAGGAGGACTAAAGGAGGCAGGAAGGGAAGAAGACTTTCACTTTCTTATATCATTTTGTATTTTTGTGAATTATTTCTAAAAGCATTATTTTTGTTATTTCCTAAGAAAAAATTATGGATCTCAAAAAATAATTTTCCATCCACAAAATCCTGGTTGCTGGCAGAAAGAAAAAGAGGTAAAACTTTATCTGATTAAACTTGTTGCTGATGCTTCTCTTTCTAGGGGCACACAGCTGGACTCATCTGGTCACATCTGTCTGTGAGCAGGGCACCCCGAATGTCTACACCGCAGCTTCCCTGGGAGGTGCTGACTGCCCATGGCAGTGATGCAGAGTGCTGGGTCCAAGGGCAGACTTCACAGGGGGATGTTCAGTATTGCCGCATCAACAAGAGCTCCCTAAATTTACTACAGCAAAACAGCATTCAGTTCAATAAATGGAAGTTCCTGAGACTCAGGAAAGTTCATTCTGGAACAAACTACCAATGGAAGGTCTCTTGGAGAGCATAAGACTGTATTTGTCTATATGCTAGAAACTGGAGAAAATAATCAACCTCCCTCTGTGAGCCCTTACACGTCAATTACATAGGTCAGAGAATTCAGACTTATACTGCTTTCTTTTTCTTCTTTCTGACAAAATTTAACTTTGGTTTCCCTTCCTCCCTCCTTCCCTTCCTCTCTCCCTCCTTCCCTTCCTCTCTCCCTCCTTCCCTCCCTTCTTTCCTTCCTTCCTTTCTTTCATCCCCCAACTCTTCCAAATTTCCCCAGCCCTGGGCAAGCACTAATCTATTTTCTACTCTATAGATTTGTCTTCTCTGGACATTTCATATACATGGAATCATAACATGTGAAGCCAGTCTTTTGTGACTGGATTCTTTTACTTAGTATGCTGTTTACATTGCTTTTTCATTTCATATTTTTAATTACATAAGAAATACATGAATTTATGCTCCTTTTTAAAGAATCAAAAAAATGGCCAGGCATGGTGACTCACACCTATAATCCCCGCACTTTGGGAGGCTGAGACGGGAGGATTGCTTTAGGCCAGGAGTTTGAGACCCTATCTCTACAAAAAAATTTAAAATTTAGCCGTTGTGATGGTACGTGCCTGTAGTCCTAGCTATTCAGGAGGCTGAGCCAGGAGGATCGCTTGAGTCTTGGAGTTGGATGTTATAGTGAGCTATGATCGGGCTACTGCACTCTAGCCTGGGTAATAGAGTGAGATCCTGTCTCAAAAAAAAAATAAAAATAAAAATAAAAAATAACGAATAAAGCTAAATCCCTATGAACTACCACCCTAGTTCTTCTCCAGCTCCCCAAGGACAATCGATGTTTTGAGTTTATTACCTAACCTTCCACATCAGTGTTTAGCAAACTTTTTCTGTTAAGGTCCAGATAGTAAATATTTTTGGCTTTTTGAGCCACAAGGTTTCTGTCCCAACTACTCAACTCTGCCTTCATCATAGGAAGGAGTTACAGGCATAGATAAGTGAATGGGCATAGCTGTGAAAAATAAAACTTTATTTACAATTAAATTGAAATTTTTATTTTCAATTAAATTGAATGAGTGAAAAACATTTCTCCCGTCTTGGTTACACAAGGACTTAATTCCTTCAATTATCTAACTTTTCCTTCCTATATTCTCTCTCTGCTTACTGGACTATTCCTATCAGCTAACAAATAAGATCTAGCATCTCCTATAATATAAAAGACCCTGTATCTTCCTATACCACCATCCCACAGCAAAACTTCTCTGGCAGGCCAGATTTAACTTATGAGTTGTAGTTTGACCCCTGCCATTCTGTAGGAATATATAATGCATCTTAAAGCATAAGAAAAGACCCAGAACAGGGGTTGACATTCCTAGGTTTTTTTGTAAATAAAGTTTTATTGGAACACAGCCACGCTCATTTGTTTATGTTTTGTCTATGGCTGTTTTCATGCTACAAAGGCAGAGTGCTACAAAAGTGTCCATTGCAAAAGAGACCATAAGGCCCACAAAGCCTAAAGTACTTACTATTTGGCCTTTTGCAGAAAAAGTTTGCTTAATCCTACTATAGAAAATATACCCTATTTTTTTAACTTCCTCATTTATAAAATGAGTATACCCTATATTATTCTGCAACTTGCTTTTTTTTCCACTCAACAATATATTTTTGAGATCTATCCATGCTGATATGTATAGATGTGATTAATACTTGTTAAATTGAGTTAAATTGGCCTAAACATGTCTCCGTACTTGGATGATAAAGTTTGGCCCAAAGCAACCTCCATACATAGTGAACTGTACTCTAGCTTGATGTGTAAACAAGTTGTAACTTAACCTAAGAGGATACCCTTGTAACCAATTAAGTCTTAGCCAATCATAGCAGCCAAACCCTTAGCCAATTCCAGGCTAAAAGCTGCCAAATTATGCCCAAATAGGGCAACACCAAACTGCACCAATCAGGTAATCTTTGTATGTCATTTCCTGTTTCCTGGTTATAAATAGAGCTCACCAGGTCGAAGGTGGGGGCATTTTGAACCATCTTTCGTCCGGAATGCAGCCCAGTTCTAGAACCTTTTACTTGCTAAAATAAACTTTGTTAAATTTAATTTGTTTAAGGTTGTTTTTAAACATACTTTAACTACTGCAGCCATTGCCTAATGGATGGACATTTAGGTTTCTTGAAATGTTCCACTAATATAAACAATGCTGCAATGAACATCCTTAAGAACATCTTCTTGGGCTCAGGTGCAAGTGTTTCTACAGGATTCAGACCAGGAACATGTAATATATGCATTTTTAATTGGGACAGATACTTTCCTCCAATGTGGCCAGCCCTGTCTCCAGACCCCCCGGCCTTACTTGGCAAAAAGGGATTTCAGAGCTTCCAGCAGGCCACAGGTTCCCAGGCCATTGGTGAATCTGGCACATCTGTCAACAGCTGCAGATGCCAGACCAAACAGCTTTTTCACAGAGTGGCTCAGCTCCTGCACACAGTCAATCACTTCCCCATGCTCCTGGTCAGCAAATACAGACAAACAGAAGCGCATCAGACTCGAGACTATCTGAATAGACAACATTAGGATAAAGGGAAACTTCTAAGCCCTCTCATCTGTGGTAAAATCACTTAATAGGGATATCAGAAATATAGTCCCAAATTGTAACAGATCTTTTAGAGATTGAGCCAGGGGAGAACAGTGTAGGTGGTCAGTGAGATCACAGAAATTAACTAACTCCTGGCAAAAAAGCATGATCAAATGTGTAGTTTGTTCTAGTATTTTTCATTTCTTTCTTATTTTTCTGTGATTATTAAGATGGCATCTCAGGCCGGGTGTGGTGGCTCACCCCTGTAATACTAGCACTTTGGGAGGTCAGGGTGGGAGGATCACTTGAGGCCAGGAACTCAAGACCAGCCTGAGCAAGAGCGAGACCCCATTTCTATACCAAATAGAAAAATCGGCCAGGTGTTCTGGCATGCGCCTGTAGTCCCAGCTACTCGGGAGGCTGAGGCAGGAGAATCGTTTGAGCCCAGGAGTCGGAGGTTGCTGTGAGCTACGATGATGACACAGCACTCTAGCCAGGGAGACAGAGCGAGACCTGTCTCAAAAAAAAAAAAAAAAATAGATGGCATCTCTCCCTCTGGCTCTCAAGGTAGGATTCAAGTTCTCCGTATCAGACACCCTAAAAGAATGTAGGAAAAGGAAAATGCTTCCTTCAGGGGCAAGAATGTAACTGAAGCGTAACAGACTTCTAGGTACATCCCTAGAAAACAGGAAAATGGCAAGAGGCAGGAGATCTGAACTACTGTGAGATCAATTCTTAAATGTCAGCTCAATTCTTAAATGTCAGCTCACCTCATGCTAGACAACTTTATGACTTAAAAACCAAATATCTGCAATGGAAATGGCCTTGATTTCAACCCTGATGTCCACACAGTGAACCTGCACCTATAGCATTGACCATGAATGCTAAGCTCCTGTGCCCATTTGCATATCTTCCTTAAACAAAACAACACCTTAATAAGAAATTACTAAATCAGGGAGATAATCGACTTATCTCCAAAAGATGTAAGCCTCGCATTTTAGTAAATATTTATTGAGGATTTTAAATAGAAAATTGGTAGCATATCTGTGGCCCCATTTTAATTTGGACTGCAAGAGACCATAAGCACATAAAGCCTGCTTTTTTGCATACCCGATCCCACCCTCAACCCTCTGCCAGACTTGGTAGAGCCTGGCAAACAGAATGCTTCCTAAACGGCGACAGGCCGGATTGTGACATTACCAAAGGCACAGCGCTGATCTCGATGAGGAGGTTGTTCTTCTCCATGTCCCCATACTTCAGCTGGTAGAGTTTGTACGGCCCATACACAGCATCCACCAGCTCTGTGACTTTTACTAGGTTGTGTTCATCTTTAGGGAATCAGAAATGAAAAACAATAATGAACAAAGAATCTGAAATTAATTGCTGGAAAGCAACAGGCGAGAGGTGCTCTACTAGAACTTTTCCCATTTTATCTTTGGAGGTGACTCCATTTTGTTAATCTGCTTTTATTATTCATGGAAGCTTCTTCAACAATCAGTTCAGTAAATATCTGAATAAATTTGGGCTTTGTGCACTGTTTGCCTAAAACACTTTTAAGGACACCTTAATCCCCACAACTCATCATAGTTAAGAATCCCTTCAAATGATAAGTGTCATCGGGGTCAGGTTCAAGAATATCTGCTACAGAGAAAAGCCTCTGTTGGAAGAACATTTTCCATTTCAAGTGTTCCGAAACAGGATATGCCATACACCAGGCATTCCAAAAATTCCTGTGTTCAACCACGTAAAAATTTAAAACTCATTTGTATCAAAAATGTAAACGTGCATATTCTATGAAACAGCAATTCAACTGCAAAGAATTATTCCAAAGAAAATCAACAAATATACAGATATGGTGCACACAGAAGGATGTTCATGGAAAGATTGTTCTGAATTAGAAAGTTTAGGAGAAAATCTCAACAGGGAACGGGTAAATGTAACAGCCTACTTACTGATCTCCTCGCATCATTCTTGTCCCCTCCAATTTCTCCTTTGAGGCCGGAAAAATAATCCACAATAGAAATCTGATCACATTACTTCCCTACTTGTAACTTTTTACTAACTTCCACTGCTCTTTAACTGGAGTCGAAAATCTTTTCTATCACCTACAAAGCCCCGCATTGTATGATCTCAGGAAGGGAAAGATGGTGGTAGTTAAAGAGTGATGGTACTTCTATCAAAGCTCTACTGACTGCGTGCAAATGACTTAACTTTTCTATGCCTGTTTCCTTCAACTATAAAAAGATAATTATGGCATCAATTTTACAAGGGTTTTGTGGAAATCAGGTAAAATACTGTGTGTCTAGCATGTGGTAAGCATTCAATAAACACCAACTATTTTTATTATTCCTTCTACAGCCTCATCCTCCTTTGCTCTTCCTGTAGCTCCCAGCCTTCTCCCAGTTCCTAAAAGCCCCATGTTCCCTGTGGTCACATGCTGATCCTTCTGTCTTCCCTATCCCTCCTCATCCAGTTAACTCCTACTGCTTAATACTCATTCGGCTCAAGTCTGCCAGTCTTTGTTTATATACTCTTAGAACCATTTGCTTTTCTTCAAAGTACTTTCTCACTTTGTAATTATACATGCATTAGTGTGACCACGTGATTATCTCCCACAGGAATATACATTATACGAGAGCAGGGACTGTATCTGCTTCTGCTCGGCATTACAAGCAGCACTCCAGTACTACTACATTTAAACTTGAATGAATAAATTAAATATATGCAGTTGTGAAAGTAACTGCAATATTAATATATATGATATATATTTATATATGATATATTAATGATATATATTAATATATATGATAAATATATATATATATATAAAAGACACACACTGTTGGGAATTAGGATTCTCACTGTAAGAAAATGGGAGATGCAAATGGGTATGCAAGAGATAAATATCCTATGGTGTTGGATTTGATTGGGAAATATTAGTATAAACTAGCAATTTTTAAAAAATACATATTTCCTAGCTCTGTCCACCATCACAAGAGCCTACAAGTAATGAAGCCCCAGTAACACTGAACATCCCTGGTGCCCAGATCTTGGTTTCTAAATACCATTTCCCACTAGAAGAAACCAAGCTTCCTAGGAAAATGACTTATTCCAGATCTGAGGCAAAGGAAAGTACATGGTGTTCCTGGAACATTTTGTGCCAGAAAGCAAGGAAGCACTCGAAGACTGATAGGGATGTGTCAAAAACATACAGGAGCCAGCTTGAAGGGGCAATCACTGTGTAATTCTGAAATAATTTGGACATCAAAATGAATGATGAAAGATAATGGATCCTCACATATTGAATTAAAAAAAGAATCCATGAGTTCATAGTGATATTAGAGAGAAAGAAAGGAAAATCCAATCTTTACAAAAGAATGCAGCAAATAAATGTAGAAGGAATAATAGAATTGGGAAATCATCATTTCATAATCAGCAATTTAAAAGTTTATTCAGACAAGGATTATGAATGGATGCCAAAGTCCCTTGGTAAATGTTTCTTGGGAAGTGGTATATTGCTATGCGCTTACAGCATCACCCTACAGGTTTCTTGTTAATTATAAAGAGGAAAAGGTATCTTCGCAATGGAGAGATCTGACAGATACATTTACTAAGTGATTAACCCATTACCAACAACTGGACATATGTCTCTTGATGTGATGCAAAAGGGAGTAAACATCATCACCAGGGTAGTATTCTTCCCCCCAAAAAGATTTGATATAAATCTAATCAGGAGGAAAAAACCTGATAATGCCAGAATGTGAGACATTCTACAAGAAAACTACCCTGTCTTCTTCAAAGATGTCAATGTCATGAAAGACAAAAGAAACGTAAAATGACTGTTTTAGATGAAAAGAGATTAAAGAGGATAAGCAAATGCAATATATGTATATTGATTAGGTCTTAATGACAGACTGTATATTAGATGAAAATATGGAATCAATATTAAATTTTTTGGATGTGATAATGGTAACAAAATATTCTCTTAAAAACATATTTAAGTATATACACAAATACACACTCATACATAAACTCTGCACATGTATATAATCCAAAATGCTATTTCTGAATGGCAGATTGAGAACAATTTTTTCCTTCTTTGTATTTTCCTGATTTTTCTATAACGAATACATATTTCTTGTTAATTATAAAGTCAATCTAAATTATTTTTTAAATTTACTTTCTAATGCATAATCTTTTCTATATTTTGAATTGTACAATGTACATGTGTTAACTATTAAAATAATTTTAAAATGTTAAAGGTAAAATTAAAAGTTAGAAAATATATCTATAACATATTTGATAAACAATGGGAAAAAGTGCTTACTATATAAGGTTCTTTTAGAAACATGCACCAAATTGTTAACAGTGGTTATTTCTAGCAAGTAGGATTAGAGGAGACTCATTTTATGTTATAGATTTCTATATCAGAATTTTTATAACACATACTTTT